GTGGAAAAAGGTGAGCGGGCTGACGTGACCGTGCAAGGACGGCAGGGCGGTGGGTGGGGGTGGTGGAGCTCGAGCAGGGGTGGGGGAGGGGGAGGGAGGAGAAGAGGGGATGGGTGAGAATCTTCTTTTTACCATCTTCTCCAACTCCTCAAATTTTGCACTAAAACGATCGCCAGCTTCTCATTATCAACATCAGGACTTAGGTGGTTCGGTCCAGCTCGGGACCCAGAGTTGGAGAAGCTGGCAGCTGGAGATTTAGCGAACGCACCCTGAAGTGTCTGATGGTGCTCCTCCCTGGAAGGATGAATTTTGTACTACTTTACTTTGTCAGATACTAGTCTGCAAGGTCCAAGCAACAATTGTCCCTATTTAGTAAGCTCGTCCAAATTTCTGAGGCTTCTTGTAGCAAGTTGGGTTAATTATGCATTTTTTTGAAGTCCTGCCTTTTTATTATTATTTATTCACTAATGGGTTCTTAACTAGCGAATTGTATGCACTGTTGTAGTTGGCAAGTTGTTCACACTAACAATACAGATAAGGAAATGTTTTTTATTAGGGGAAAATACACGTTTATTTTGGATGATAAAGATCATGTTTCTGTTTTGTTCTTTTCTTGTACATCTTCATTATCTGTTTTTTTTATTAACGATATGTCACCGGTAATCATATTCTTCAGTTAGTGATGACTGCTGATGTGCATATCATTATTGTTATCCCAGTTGTTTCAAAGCAACTCATTTTGCTGCAAATGGTTCTGTATGTAGGGTGCCTGTGGATCCACTTGAGTGGCAGATTTCTCAAGAGATGGCAAATAGTATAGTTGCGTCCTTGGCTAACACAATTGGAGCTGCGGAGTCTGTATTGAGGGTGGCTGCAACTGGACATGACAAGAAACTCTTGTTCAAGGTATTCTCAGAACTCCACTTCATATGTTCTCTCTGGAGGACTATTGAGGCAGAGAAATAATCATCTTCGGCCAGTTTTTGGATGTTAACAGCTCTTGCTTGTTAATATCCTGTCGAGATTCTCTGTGAAAACGACAGTTTTGCATGTTTCCAAATGTGTTCTTGCGATACAAAGGGCATGGAGGAAAGAGATCGAATTTCTCTTCTCATTCTAATGCAGCTTCTGATGTTTGACCCATCAGCTATGTGCTATAGGGCTTTCATACATGTTGGTCAGCTTACGGTAAAATCTTCACCCTTGCATTGCAGGTGGTTTTTACTCTGTATTTCCTAGCAGCTTTGGGAAGGGTTGTCTCAGGCGCTGCGATTGCTTATGCTGGTAATTCGACCACACTGCTTGATACTGCATTACTTGTGCATGCTTTAGATCTGCTGGCGTAACACCTTCTGCATTTCCATTTGTTGTCTTTGCCAGCTCTATGCATCTTCTCCCTCTACATGTTTGCGCAAAGCACCGACCAGTTTGATCAGCTCCCTTGGGTTCCTTTAGGAAGAGACTCGCTGGGCGGCGCCCAGGATACCACATGATTTCTTCATGCACATGTCTTGCCGATCATTTTTTTTTCTTCATTGTTCGAGTTCTGTATATGGCCATGGAGGCCAATAGCTTGAACCGTACCCAGTGTTGTTTTAAGATGAACACTGGTGCGCCACGTGTGCAGCCATGTGCATTCCCTTTTTTTAAAGGGGAGATGAATGCGACATTAATAAAAAAGAGAGAAGGCATTCACGCAAGCATAGTAGGGTGAGCAGCTAGAGATTTTTAGACAGAATCATCTCTCTGAGTTACTCCCTTCGATCCAAAGTAAGTGTCGTGAACTAAAACCATGGCACTTATTTTGGATCGGAGGGAGTATCACTTAAAGGGGAAATGGCAGTCCACAATACACCATGATGGTTCAACAAGTAGTAGCAATGTAATTTTACCTTTTGAAATAATCAGAACGTGACATTCAAACTGATCAGGCACAGCCTCCTTTTATCTGCACAACAATAGTAGCACCAATTAAGCAGACATCAACCATATGGAAATAACAAACTTCACCTGCGGAAATCCAATTCGGCTCTTGGGAGCATATATGCTCCTGTCCACCAAAAACCTTCTTTTGCAAATGTCATTTTTTTTGAAAAAAAAAATATGTACATGTGTCCTTTGTCACACCAAAATGATACCTGCAAATTTTTAGGAGGAAAGCTTAAGCATTTTGATCCGTGCAAAAAACAGATCAAACCCAATGAAGCTCAGGTTGGCCCCCATGAAGCTCCGCGAGTGCCTATACTCTTATACAATACAACTTAAATGGATATTTGCTAGTATATTCGGTTTATTTGATCTCGATTCACAAAACCTAGCTCAAGTTCGTCACCCCAAATCCCCTCGACCCCCTTTCTGTGTGTGACAATTGGTATCTAGAGCACATGCATGGGAGATGTCGTGAGCAGATGACACTAGTAGAAAAAGGCCTAATGTGAAGCACATTAGTTCCGGTTTGTAATTGGACCGGCACTAATGTGACCATTAGTGCTGGGTCCAACGGCTAGGCGGGCGGCATTTCAAAAATTAAATTTTAGTCTAGCATTTAAAAAATATATAAAAATAGTTTTATGTACATAAAAATTGAACATATTTTTTTTTTGAAAATGTTGATCTTGTATAAAAATTTATAATTATCTATTTCAAAAATGTTAAATATGTATTGGAAAATGTACCTGGTATACACTTAAAATGTAAAATATGTATGAGAAAAAGTATTCGTCAAAAATAGTTTTTAATTTATTAATGAAGTACTGAAAAATGTTAAATATGTATAAGAAAATGTTTCTGATGTACAAAAAAAATGTAGACCTGTGTTGAAGATAAAAAGGCAAAAAAAAATAAAGACTATAAAACCAAAGAAACAAAAAAAAAAGCGAGAAAATTGATTAAACCAAGAGAGAAACAAGAATACAAAGAAAAGGAGAGAAAGAAAGAAAACAAAAAAGTAGTGAAAACGAAAAAAAACAAAAAAAGTGAAAAAAAATGAGAAAGGGAAAACATGAAGGAAACAAAGAAAAAGCAGAAAACAGAAGAAAAGTGGTGAAGAAACTATGAAAACCGAAAGAAAGAAATAGAATACAACTAAGAAGAAGAAACACATGAAAACCACACAATACCGAACCAAAACAGTACAACGATCGATCGATTACTACCAAGGAGCATCCCAGCTAATGAAAAAAAACTGACAAATGGGCTAGCCTAGCAGCTACGCGAGGGAAGAAAACCTTCAGGCGAGACAATAGGTATACTAGCTATAAGAAAGATATAGCTCTCGCAATTCCACGTGGAAGCGACAATGTTTCTAGCGATGTGATAGGCGACCTTTGAGCGACAATGTAGTTGGTCGGCACATTAGTTTTTATGAACGTTAGTTCAACACACGTTAAAAAGATGTTCTCTTCTAAAAAAAGTTAAAAAGATGTTCATGCAATGTAGTATTAATTTATTCATCGCACATTCCCTGAACAACTTTTTGCCCGTCCCAGTTCAGTAATTCCTGCAGGCGAGGCTATAGTGTGTCTTGCAGTAAGCGAGATATATCACTGGTGATTCGACGCATTATGCGTGGAACAAGATCCACCATCAGCGCTTATTGTCGTAGATAGTGGAGGCAAAGTGTACAAGCTCTCGCCCGCCCCATTAACCATTTTGCACTTTTTATTTATATTTTGGACAGATCCTAAAAATAATATTTTTGGAAAAAATATTATTGGATATTTTTTAAAAATATTAAAATAAGGAAACACTTATATTATAGGAAAATGTTCATGTATAATCAAAACTGTTCTTATATCTAAAATAAAATGGTCATCGTGTATTTTTTTAAAAAAATCTTATACATAAATATATTCATATATTTTAAAAATATATATTTAGTAAAGCATGATTTTTAAAAATTGATTTATAAGAAATACATTTGTCATTGCATATTTGAAAAATGTTCACTACGTCTTCTATCAAATGCTCACCACGTCTTTGTTAAAAAGTCATCGCGTATTGTCAAATGTCCATTGTGTATTTTAAATATATTCACGTGTAAGAAAATACATTTATATTTTTTGAAAAGTAAGCATTTATAGAAAACATCATTTTTGTAGTTTCCTAATAATATTGGAAATCTATGTGCAAGTTTTCAAGAGAAGTCACAATGCCGGCTCAGTCTCTCAGAGATGCTCATAGAGGCAGGTGTGTGTGTTCATAGGGGTGAGTGTATGTGCGTATGTATGAGCGCTTGCGTCTGTACTGTGTTCAAAATAATAATATGATTCTATAATATAATCTTAAAAATTGTTTTTATATGCTACGTACTCCCCCCATTTGTTTTACTCCACATATTAGGTTTTGTCCTAAGTCAAACTTTGTAAAGTTTAACCGATATTATATTATATTTAAAAATATTAACATAGACAAAATCAGTTAAATACAATATGAAAATATATTCCATGATGTATCTAATGATATTGATTTTGTATTGTGAATGCTAGTACTTTATTATGTAATTTTGGTCAAACTTCAAAAGATTTGCTTTACGATAAACCTAGCATACGGTGTATAAAGAACAAAAAAGATACTTGTGTAATATAAGTGGTTCTTTTAGTAAACTTATTAAATTATTTTTTGACTTTTCAAAGCTTCCTTTTTCTCCCTCTGATTCATTTCTTTCGATGCCCTCTTAAAACCCAGCATACATCTTCTTGAAAAAGAGAAACAGAGAAAGAGAAAAAGATACATTCCCATCTTCTGGTAAAGCTCCACATTGGTTCATTTCTTTGATGGCCCCTTCCTTAGGCTGCATCCCTTGCAAATATATCTGACCTAACGAACTTCACGTATCGATGATGTAACATGTACGGCGAGCATGGCGATTTGGCAACGTCTTGATAGAAAGCATGTTATTGGAACAGATCCGGTACATACCTTTTTATATGTTGACTTGTGAACACAACTGTCTCCTTATCAGCCATCTTTGACTCGTACTTGGTGGCTAGCCGGCCGGCCGGTTGGATCCGAGCCTCTTCTCCAAGAAAAAGTTTTGAGTATACAAAGTCGGGCGAATGGCCCAACTGCAAAGGAGAGCAAAACCATGCACCAATTCCATCTGCATCCGTGGTTTTCGTGGCTCCAGTTAACCCAAGATCAAGCCTTTCCTGTCGGTCCAGCTGGCAAACGTACTAACGCAGTACTAACAATGAATCCAAGGATCATCTTAAAAAAAACGAATCCAAAGATGACAGTGGGAGAAGTATAATGATCTTTCTTCCGAAAATGTCGTTTGGTGGCCGAGCACCATGCAGGCCTTAATCTGGCTCGTCAGTGTTCGTACGGATCGGCCGCAGTTCCTTGTGACTCACCTGTATTCGATCTGACACCTTTTTTATACCACACCGTATTCTCCATTTTGTGCACAGTGTCATCCCATGTTAACACCACTGCCAGACCAGGCTGTTCACAGGTTCCACCGTCTCACCCATCATGTACAGGTAATGCGTCATGTACACTTCCGTGCCACAGGAATATGCAAGTTCTGAGAACATAACCATCCTCCATGGTACACTAATTACCTTGGTTTTGGGGTTAGCAGTACTAGTTCTTAATTAAGGGAAAGTTCTCGCTGCAGGCACCTCAGATTTACCCATGATTGAGAATAATAAACTAATTGCAATTTCTTCTGATGATTACATTTTATTTTCATAATTAAGCCACTAACCATAGTAGATTTGGCCCAACTAGTACAAAACCATTTAAAACATAATATAAACAGCAACAAATGTACAAAAAAAGAATCTTCTTTCTTCATTGAGAACTAATCATTAGACTGCCCCAAAGAATCATTCCATTACAAACATAAAAAATATTTTGGATAAATTACCCATGGATTCAACAAGCAATGCCAATCGTCTGTATTTAGTGCACACATATTTATCATCAGGTACTCACATGCCGTACATGTTCCAATGGGTGAAGTCCTTTTTTTGGATGGGTTATTGGACTAGTCCTTCATCAACCAGATTGAACAAATATATGTTGCACCTTGTTATTTTTTACCACGTGATCATCTTACTAAAAAATCACAATTTTACAATTGATGGAAAGTTATTCAACCTTTCGGCGTTTATCGTCGTGTGCGAGGCATTCCTCCGCATCCCTCCCCACTTCGGCCTATGGCTCAAGGTCTTTAATGTGAAGCTGAAGGTGGTCGAAGGCCAACACGCGGAGTGCGGCGGCACCATGGTGAGTAAACTTCCCAACGTCACCTGGCCAAAAGGGACCTTTGTGGAATCCATCAAAGGATGGCAGCAGGGGTGGTTCTATATCACGGAACCCCGCGATACCACATGGGCCGCCGCTCCTGAGTTAAAGTCCGGGCCCCCGATGCGGCTTGCATCCTGGATCAATAAGGGTCTAAATTGGGAGTCGCCTGGCGAGGTGACGACGTTGGAGAGCCGCGTCAAGGGCATGATAAATAGAACACCAGCCTCGCCAACGTGAT